CTTCTCACGGAGTCGGTTCGATCGTGAGAAAGGCGGATGTCCATTCAGAATTCAGTACGAAACCAAAGGCGCCTACTCGTCTCTCTCTCTCTCTATCCGATAGCTTTCCATTTTTCTTTGTTTCTGTTGACCATTGTAAGACAGGGTAGCACATGGAAATGTATGGTCAAGCTTATTCGATATTTCCTCTTTTTTCAATGATGATAAAAATAATGAATGTGAAATTGAAACCGATACTTCTCGGACCCATCGCGTGGGAAAAGGAGATTCGAGTCGACCTAGTGAACCGATACCTGGACTGTTGAATCCTGGGATTAATTGCACCGGAAAGGAGACAGAGTCTGAACCGTGAGACTGTGAAATAGAGATATTACGAAATGAGAACGTTGAAGTTAATTATCCGAAAATTTTCGGCTATTGTTCTTCTGTTTTGAAGCTTGCGATAGGATGATCGGCTCGATTCATAGGAGTGGAAGATAGATTTTCTCTTCACCTTGGGTCGAATAACTAGAAGTAACAGTACCCGTGGCATTGGCACGGCTAGTATCTATCGAACGTGTCGGATCGACTCGTTTATCGTTCGAGTTTCTTACGTAAAGTCCTTACTCGCCGCCTGGCCGTTCGCGAACGCGCTTTTCCGGAAGGAGCTCCCTTTCAAACTAACTCGGACGACTTCTCTCTCAAATTTTTTGACTCCGAGTAGTTATCCGAGGTTACTTGAGATTGGCCAGACATTTTGAGACGCCCTGTACGAAACAGTTGTACGCGTTCTACGTAGACGGTGCGCGCTTCTTTCTCGCCTGCTGCATTCCGCGACGCGCCTCGTTAGACTTGACACGTATTACTTTACATTCTCATAAGCGTTATACCGCCCTGCCTTTCTCATAGAGCCGGCAACACGCGAGATCGGCGAGGAATCGGGAGCTCGCGAACGGACCGCTCGCGATCCACGAGTTTCCAATCGAGGAAAAATGGTAACTTTCCAAAGAACCGCGTGTTGCCGTCAACTCGCGAGAAATCCCGAGGATATCGTGAAATAAACCATCGAATCTCTGCATTGGAATTCAACGAATAGCAATTTTTATAAACAAAATATACCGATATTTCTGTTTAGTGATCTTTGACGATTTTAAAGGAAAATGCGCGGGAAAAATTTCAAATAAAATTATTGCTACACGAATCCTATACTGGATGGTCGCATGTCCGACCGATTAACTTGCTCCAACATAAACAGAACGGCTTCCCTCGATAGTAAGCATACCTTCGCGTGCGCAAGTTTCATTGACTCTCGAGTTATTGAACGTGTCTCATCGAGCCTACAAGCCACACCGATACCTACATTACGATTGCGTTCACGCGTCCAAATACAAAGGTCAACGAGATCCTTGCGATCGTCGAATAAAATTCAGGAATTAAAAAGAATCTTGATCAGACGGTCACGTGTCGTTGATTAATTTTACACGCGTGCAACGTTGGTCCTAGTCGGCAAATCTTCCACGAAAATTGTATTCTACTCTCGTTTCGTTTCGCTCGGTTCCCTAACCGGTGGCCAACTTGCGAAACGTTAATCGAGTTTCACAAGTTGGCCGATCGAGCGAGAAATATCTCACTAGGGACCTTTATTCGCTGATTCGAATGAAACTTTGCCGGTTTATTAGTAGAAATCTATAAAATTATTCGTGTTAATACGAAAATGTGACTTTATTTATTCGACAAAATTACTTTTGCCCGAGGCGGATGAATATTGACTAGAGAGCGCATCGTCACGTGGTCCGAGGGCCACGTGACCGGTTGAATTATTAGCGATTAAGAGGGAGAAACATCTTTTATAATGTATGAAAATTGTTGTTTAATATAAACGATTGATGAATAAATTATAACCGGGAGGATCGATTAAATTTGTTCGTCTGGAAAGCTTCGAATTCAAGCGCAACGCTCGTGCTTAGAATGCTACACGGTTCGATTAGTCAACGTCAGTTAACCAACTGTCAAAAGGTTGGAGCTCGACGCGTACAAGGTGAATCGTAATCGATCAATTACCGTGATCGTACAATTTTCCTGATTCTATGTTCTAATCGGATGTGCAAATACTTCGGTATGTTGCATAAAAGTTATAATAACCGATGTTTACTCGATCTTGATTTCATAATTCGCTACGCGATCGACTCGCTTCAACTGAGACGCGAAAGTGATGTATATGTACATTACTCCCTAGTAATATTCTCGCTAGTGAGAATATCATGCGTTCCGTTCGTGCGGTCTCGGTTACAATAGAGAAAGGGCTTTCGAATCCACACACGATTATTTCCGCACGACAAAGCCTGTCAACCTGCGAGTCTGGTTGCCCGCGTTACGGACACGAAACAGACAGAGAAACGAAACGAGAGAGAGCAATAAAAAAAAGAGAAAGGTATGATAATTACCAAGGAGTCGTCCCCATTGTCAGCGCTCATAGCCCACCGCTAGCGCGAGGGAATTCGAGAACGTCGTCGTGGTCGTCGTCTTCGGTCCTCTTCACCGCCCTTCCGGTAAAATAACCTTGCGTTCGTCATTCTGCGGTGTATCCTAAATCCGCAGGAGATTCGAAGGACTCGTTAAAAGATACCAGTGGCAGCGCCTCGCACCTGTCATCTGGCATTGCAACAACGCGACGCGGCTTCGTAGTACGATGTTTTAATGTGTAGAAGGATCGAGAGAAGGGACGAACTCGAGAAAGGGTGTAAGCAGAAACGAGACGGAAATAGAGAGAGAGGACACTGACATACGAAACGTCAACGACATTCGGAGCACGCCGTGTCTCGTATTTTACCCGTTCTCGCGAAACTGTTCAACTGTACCGTGAACACGCGTCTCGCACTTACACGCCACTCGAATACGGAGACGACGCTTTATTTCGCGTCTCACTGAACGGTCAATAAGGACGAAACAATAAAGTTTACCGCACCAAACAAACTAACCTCCGTACGAGCTCACGGGCAAGCGCAAACTTCCAGCGGCACTCGACTCGACTGCTTCCCGATGCTTTCCCTTCCATCGCGTCACCTTCTCCCCTCCATTACACGAGTCGTACGAACGTCGAAACACAAACGATACGTTTACATTCCAATTAGCTCGTTTCGCCTTAGGCTTTTTACGTTATCGCATCGAGTACATCGAAAATTAATCACCGATACCAATTACGATTCCGAACGCGACGTAAAACTTGGAAAATTATTACAAATATACGGCACTCCACGCGCACAGGTTTCCCGCTATCGACGCCATCTTGCTTTCTGATCTGCGCGGGATTCTGAACCGTAGCGCGCCAATTTTGAATCGCGCGTCAATTTAAGCTTCCTACTGCTGCTACAAAATAGATCTATTATTTTATAATAATTAATACTTCGTTCGTGCAAATATATATATATACATACTAATACCCCATAATTTCATATTTTCGCAGTATTTTAAATAAGAACACATACAATAGAATTAATATAAGGAAACGTATTTTTACGAAATGTTACACAACTACAATTGGAATAAATGATGATACAATAGGATCATAATATATGGATGAAGGTATAACGACGTGATAAATAACAAAATTTTAGGACTGGTTTTATCATGAAGGACGAAGTAAAATGTGAAAAGTTACACATACAAAATGAGACAACACATTACACGACAGACAAAAGACTTTTTCACAACATTTAATAAAACGCTATCAACTATGTATGCCTTTTTTTTTTTTTACTCAAATACTCTAAAAGTTACTTACATACGTGTAGTTTATATACGTATTTATGTTAGACGGAGGTGTCACATCCCTCGCAACGAATCGACGTTTCAAATCTACACGTCTTCCTTCGTTTCTTCTATTTTCCGACAAAAATCAGATTTCGTTATCATTGTACACTGATAACAAACGTAACGATTCAGGCACCAATCAGCGACGATGAACACAGTGTAAAAACACGGAAATAGAAGATCGTCAGGATGTGCTCGGGAGTTGACACGTCCAGTAAGTATGTATAAATTTAATACTATCGTCGTTATCATTGTTTCCTTAAGTGTAATATTTCAATTAATCGTGGGTATTAGCGATCAACGTCCCGGGATGCTAAAGAGGTCTGTGTCTGAAAATCTACAAGGTGTATAACACAATGGGTGCGCAGAAGAATCGCCGAACAAGGCAAACTTCTACTTCCTTATTTTTCAGACTTCATTTATCGTTCGTTTATTCAAAAATAAAAAAACATTCGCGTGGGTTTTTCCTTCCTTTATTCGTTCGACGTAAAACCTTGAAATTGCGATGAAATAATAAAGTTGAGCCGTTGATCGTTCGGACATAAAAATTGCTTAACAATCAAGAAACTTGTATTCAGTGTGTATCGATATTAAAAAGGATTGCAATTTCAAGGCGCCAGATGAAAGAAGAACGAGGAACAGAAGAAAAAAAACATATGCAAGGGCGTTATGTGTTCTGTAGACAGCGTGCGCTTGGTATATCGACCAACCATTATTTTCTCTCTAAAACATTGAAAAACATGCGTGTAATCCTCGATGCGTGTGCATTCAGTGTGCCCATACAATACGAGGAAAATTTACTTAATTTTCCTCGTTTACCGTCGTCCGTTGAAAAACAAAAACTATTCAAACATGATTCCCTACTAACTGGCATAAAAAAGTCCCATAATTTATTCCTTAACCTACAGGATGATCCTGACAATCCTCATTTTCATTATGCACAAGTATATCACAATCGCTCACGTTAAGTGGTCGTGTACAAATGTGTTTTGCGTATTATACGTGCTTTCCTTCCTTTTCCTTTCAGTCTCGCTGTTGCAACGGATACGAGTTTTCGCCATCGCCGCTGTCACACGAATCCGAAACTTTGTTTTCTTTTAGGTTTTTTTATAAAGAGACATGCGTGACCCGCGATCTTAGAGTAAAGTATTAAAGTTAAATATTATAAACTGCAATCTAAGCTGATCCCATGTTGTTGTTTCTTTTTTTTCTTTTTTTTTTTTTTTTTTTTTTTTGTTTGGTCACAACCTCGTTGAATTTCTTCTGAAACTCTCCGTTACAGAATCCTTGTCGTTTCAAGGAGACTGTTCATGAAGATTTTCGACGAAGACCTGCCCCTGAAAATCCTCCACCGAATCGGCGGCCCAGGATTCTCTTCGCATGGTTCGAGAACGTCGTCTTTATCAATGTAAACATGAAACGAAAAAGAACGACGTCCCGAACTTTCATCCCGGGCGGACGCACACGTAGTAAACTCGTGCCGTAGTAAACCGTGAGTGATTTTTGAGGAGAACCTTCGGTTCTTTTCGAAAATCACATAAACAATTTACTCGGATTTATCTAACTTAAAGGAGAACCGGTCAAAGTACCAGTTTCTTCCTTATTTTCCTCATCTCGGGATAGTCCCCTCTGCCTGTTTTATATTCACCGCGAGGTTTTCCAACGGAGCTTTTGAGCTCGCTGAAATTACACTATTTTTCTTGTAATAAATCACTATACGAGTAAAAAAAAAACAAAAAACAAAAAACTGCTTTGACGGACTCGCGGATAGACGTTCTTTCGACATATCTACAAACAGTTTGACCTTTAAGCAGATACAGTCTCGACCATTGACTTTTTAATGATTTCCCCAAAGTTTTCGTCGCACTCTTCCGTACTTTCCGATTGTTGCTCGTTACCTTGATTCTTTTCCACCTCGACCTTGGTTCCGTTCCCGTGATAAGTACCGTGCGTCTGGGGCTCCATTTCACCGTAGTAGGAATATCTAGCTGACAAAAGTTCCGAGAACGGTTCTAATTTACCCATTTGTTGGACGACTGTGTTCATCGGTTGCACCGAGTTCAGATTCGTGTATTGTGATCCGGTTGTTTCGTCCTGGGCGAAGCTGGTCTCGTAGGCGGATGAATGTTGTCCTGGATGGACTTGGCAGTTCCCCTGGATTGTTGCAGCGTCTTGTCCGTAAGGCGAGTAGTGTGAGAACCCTGGATTTCCTGGCACCGTTTGGAATTGTGGCTGAAATTGCACCCTAGACGTGGAAGGAAGGTTAGCGTAAGGCTGGTAATCCTGATAAGTAGGCTGTTGAAAATTAACCCCGGCACCGGTTTGGCCCGAGAACGTTTGAAAAGCTTGACTAAATTCAGGATGAAGTTTCCTTTGAGGTCCCTGCGTACCGTCAACAGTGTCTTCGCTTGGATAACAATCGTCTCTGATAGCGTACAGATCCAGGCTATCCTCTCTTGTGCCGGTTACGTCTGGCTGGCAATTTGTCCCGGCATCCCTCGCGTCGTGATTCTCATAGTGCAACGTCGTAAAACCGCCCCCGTTCAAACACGATTCCGCGTTCCTATTCTCCATTACAGATCCCAAGTTAATCTCCCTCAACGGGCTTCTACCGTGCTGATTGTCGGAAACATCGTGATCCGTACCCTCCTCTTCTTCCCGATGCTTTTTCTCCAACTCTAACCGCATCAACGTGTGGATGAAATGCGTCCGTACTCTTACCGGATTAAACTCAATCCTCCCTGAACTATTCGCACAACCGTCTCGAGTACATCCACAAGGGAAACCGGCTCTATCAACCTGTCGAAAGAAAAATACGTACACCCGTGACGGTATCTCTCGTGTACAAGAAAATTCATTTGTATTTCTCGTTTAATAAATTCCGACCAACCTGGCACTTGACGTTGGCACGGCTACAAGGGCAACTCTCCGGATCGCAGTATCCTTTGCATCCGCAACCACAATGTTCTCTGCTAGCTCTGATATCGCGACACTCGTCCTTCTCGATCGCGTCTATTCGACGAACTCCTGCGGCACGTAGCAAGGCTCGTCTTTGCCACGTTGGTACTGGCTGCAGGAAGTAATAACTATCGATGTCCAACTCCTCGTTATCGCTCTGTTCCTCGTCCGTGTCGTCGCTCGGATCCTCCGAGCTGGAGGCTGCCTCGGACACGCAATTTGCAGCACGCTCCGAGCGCAATTGTGCAAGCCTCGCGCGATGAATCCGCCTCTGTTCGGCGGCGTGTTCCGATAACGAGAACCGTTCGGCATGAGTATGCGTCGCGCTCATACCAAGAGTGCTGCCACCCTGAAGAACGATCAATCGATTTACTATACCCTACTCCACAGGTGTACGCTATTATTCAGAGAATAGAAAAGGAAATCAGGGTTTTTAACACACGTTAACCATCACAGACTGGTGATGGATATTTCCCGAAAACGTTTTACTATCAAATTAATAATGTAACGTAGAAGATACAAAATGTAAGAATTAACTGATTATGTTATTTATGACTCGCGTTTTAACGCGTCTTTCATCATACAAGTTCGCTTTCAGTATGGCGGCGAACGTGTTAATTGAATCATAAAGATGATTATCCCTGGGCTTACCTGAGAAGGCACGCAAGCAAAACCCTGTGCCCTAGGAAAGTAGTACACGGTCACGGCATCGAATTGAATGTTGCGTTTCTTTTTCATCGACTCATCGGTGTTACTCTTCTTCGGACTCGGAGCACCTTCCATGCAATCTGTTAATCGTCGTTTCAAATTGCTCTTCGGTGGACTCGGGAAGTTCACCAACGGCGCCTGCGGTGTACCGGGTACACCCACTCCGATTGACTCCAATTGATTCACCACTGAAACAAAATGTCGTGCTTTCCTAATTCTCGCATCTCAATAATTCATAACTTCTGTTTTTAATAAAGCAGACTGTGATGGTAAAATGTTCGTCGCGTTAAAAAAGAAAGAGAAGAAATACCTTTTTCTTTATCGGAAAGAATGTCATCGGGTATCCTGTCCAAGAACGAAGTCTCCGAATCGCTTTCCGGAGCCGGTGCAGGTCCAGACTCTCCAGGTATCTCGCTTCCAAGACCAGAATCACTTCCATCCGACCTAACTTCATCCCGAGCACCGGTGGCAAGAGCCAGGCTTTCCGCCGAGTCTTCCGTGAACGCTTCCGGCCTTTCCGATTCCAACCTGGTTATAATTTCCGGACCGATGTCGACACAGCACATGGATTCGCTCTCGGGGCAAGATATCTGGTCGGACACCGTGTCGTCGTCGCATCCACGAAGCCGCGCGTTCATGGACGACACTTCGGAGCTATCGGATCCGGTCTCAGTCTCGGTTTCCGTGTCGACGACTTCTGGAACCTCCGTGGCTGGTTCCAGAGTCTCCTCCGGCGAGCTGGGTGTCGCCTCGGACGAATCCAAATTGTTCACCGGCCGAGGATTCTCTTTTCCGGCGGACAGAGCCGAGGCAAATACCATTTCCTCGTCCTCGCCCAACTCTTTAACGACCACCTTGGCTTTTGTCTCTTCTGTTTCCGGACAAAACTTCTGTTCGGTCATGTCCACCGGGTGCGACAAGATCAACTTCTCTAAGATCACCTTGCATTGCTTCATACCGTTTATCGAAGGCGAACACGGCATATCGCGGACGATGTTCGGCGAGTGCACCTCGGAAGAGTCCAGCAATTGATCGCCCCTCTCGAGAACGCGCCTCTGCATCGAACACGAGTCCTTGGACGAATCTTCCGGCTCAGTCTTCGCCTCCGCGCTATCAACGTCCTTGCACGTGGTGCTTTTCGGCTTCTTCTTAACGATCGTTCGTTTCTGCTCTTTCAACATCGGACTGTGGGCATCCATGCGTTCCAATAACACGATTAAATTAGGAAACGAGGAACCGTCGATCGGGTTAGCGGACCTTTCGCAGGATGATGCACCATTGTAGGGAGACGATTCGATCGGCTCCTCGCACTGTTTCGGCTGCTGACACGAGTTCAGATCCCTGCCAGGACTGTCGCGAGGCAGCGAATAACAAGAATCCTCGTCGATGAACGGATTCTCCAACGTTTTCTTCTCCTTGCTCTCTGTACATTTATCTTTTTCCGACGCCGTTCCGTCGACCCTGTGCTCCGACTTCGAAGAATCTGCCGTTGTCACAGGATCGTCGTTAACTTGAACAGAGTTCTCCAGGCTGAGACTATCGTTCAATCGACAAACACCGGTGAACGAATCGTCGAGGATTCTGCTGCTTCTCGAGATACATCGACCGTTCGTGTCGTCGTCGAAGAGACACGAGCTCGACGACAAGGATATCTCGCCTAGAGTACGTTCTCGAAGGCTAACCAGCACCGGTGAAATCCTCCTCACGTCGCTCCTCACTTGAGTCGTCTCGTTTTCCGTCACCTCCATTCCTATTCTCTTGATTTCCGCGTTGATCGGCAGGAAATCGGTGGCTGGTCTTTTCCTGCATACCGGCGACGAGGTTACGAATTCTGGCACTTCGTTCTCCCCCTGTTCATCGGGACACTGAACCGTCGACGAACTATCCTCGGATTCGTTCGACTCTCCAGCCTCCTTCTTTTGCTTTCCCAACTTGAGCCCCATATCGAGCAGCTTCGATTGATCCTCTTCCGTCGAACAGTCGCCTGAAACCTCGTGATTTACCAGCCGAGTCTCGGATGATTCTACCTTTTCTTGGCTATTCTTGCATCGATCACAATCTTCCTCCTTCTTCTCTTCTGACGTAGCCGCGGTCCCGACGTTCGCGTCGAGTCCCGTCGACTCAACCTCCTCCGTTAATGTAGATGCTCTCGACTCAGGCCTGGCGACCGGCTCTACTACTGACGCGGCGAAACCTTTTTGGGCCTCGAAAACACGATCCTCAACCGAAGACGATTCCATTTGGAGCGTGCAATCTGTGATAAAGAGAAAAACAGAGATGATTTAAAAAAAAAAAAGATCGTGTCCGATCATAATCGTGCGGATTCGAGACGGGATCATGGATCGTCTACTCGAAAGTCTATGGTTCCATAGAGAATCAATTGATCGGCATCCATTTAAGCGGACTATCCTCGGTTTTGTCCCCGTTTTCAGAGGTGATCTCGTATTCTCACCGCGTAGCCACATTTTCCTCGATACATCATAAGCAAAAGGACGGAGAAGAAAAAGATGGAGGGATCAATAATCCGCGCGCTGATACCGCGCACCGGTAAACAGAGAACGACACCGTCGAACACGCCAAAAGATTCGAGGAATATAGGAATCGGCATATCCGAGAGTGATGTTGTCCCAGGCTTTTGAACGAAGCCTGAGATGGAAAACGTTTCGGAGGTACATCCGATCGAGTGTGCCCTTAATCTGCCGATATCTTTCTTATCACACCACCGAATATAAAAGGGGTCTGCATATAATCCTGGCCGGAGATTATTGATTCAAAGCTGGTAGGAAAGGGGGGGGGGGGGGGTGAAAGTGGGAGGGAGGGGGAGGTTTCTGTCTGCCTTCGGTTACCATGCGCACCTTGTACCCCCTGTATACCCTAGAGAACGACTCAACGCGACTAGCCAGGTGCAAAAGGGTTTCTCTCTTGACTTCCGTTTTCTTTTCTTTTCTTTCCTTTCCTTTCCTTTTCCCTCGTTTAAATACTTTCTCTCGTTTTTCTTTTCTGTCTTTTTACCTTCGAGTAGCACGATCTTTCGCCCCCTCCACCACCTTCCGCACCACTCTGTCCTGTCGCAAATCCCTTCGAACCTCCGTACACGGGGCTCGATATCTCTCTGACGTATGTTCGAACTCGGCAGAGGGTCGATTTAAGTCGTCTCGCAACTCCAGCCGCCTCCATTTTGCTCGCAAACTCGTCTGTCCCTGAGATCCATCGAGCGATCAGCCGCCTCCATAGAGGACGACCGGCACGGCTCTCGAGCTATACGGCATTCAACAATGTCCGCCTGCCCGCCTCACTGCCCCGGGGCTGCGAGTCAGTCCCTTTCTTCGTTCCAGGAAAAGGGTATCCAATTTTTATCCAACGGGCTACGAACTATCCAAAAAGAAACAACAGTCCAACTGATCGAGAGAAGAACGGTTACTTCGGATGATGCCAGCGAACCGTATTCTGTACAAGACAAAAAGGCCTTCTTTCTCTCGACTTTAGGATGAAAATGAAAATCGTGGAACTCGAATCGACTCGTTCTTCGACCGACACCAAAACGATCCAACCACGATCGAAGTCGGATAAACGAGATTGAACATGGAACGTTCTGAGAGATGCGTCTCGAGGGGCACACGGTTGAAGAACAAAACGGCCGTGGGACCGAAGGAAGAGCGTAGGAGAGCAGCCTCTCTCGATGAAAGATCCAAAACGAACGCGAGAAGAAAAGTCGCTTCGGCTTCGAAGCAAGACCAGAGCTGAACGTTCACGAGCAAACTGACTGACTGGAATATATCCTAGAGAGACGAGACCCGGTATGCCTGCCTCTCTTTCTCTCTCTCTCTCTTTCTCTTGTTTGACGACGATACTCGATGACGAGAAAGCGAGGGAAATGCTTCTAAGTGGAGAGCGTATACTCGCAGAGATGGAGAAAAATAAGCGAAGCGAAGCGGAGGCGCGTGCGTCGCGTTCGACAGCTCGGAGCAGAGTGAGCGGAGCTACCTCGACGCCGCATCGATGACGATTCCGCTCGGCGTCGCTTTCGGTCACCTTCGGCTCACCTCGGTTCTCCTCCACGTTAGTGAAGGGTACACGCGTACTTTATACACACACACAGAAGCCTTGGGTCTCTGTGTTAGTGAATCTGTAATACAGTGTACGATGCTACGAAACACAGTGGTTCTCATCGGACCGATCGAACAGGAGGCAAACTCGACACCATGTTCTTGGAATATCGATCTTTACCTCATATTTTCAACCTTTTCTCCAAAAAATTTAATATTTTCAAAAAAGGATATCGGGCGATATTTGGCATCGGTGAAAATGAATTCTACGTCGATGATTGGTAGAGGGAAAGCAACTTTCCAAACGGCAACTCATTGATTACCATCGGTGAAATTCCGTGGCCTTTCTAGAGTAATTCTATTTTCTGCACACTCTCGTACACAGGCTACGCCTACTAGTACTACTAAACGCCCTCGCGCGCATCAACACAATTAACCAAAGATATTATTAACTTTCCTAAATCGGACTACAATGTGTCTATATTTCCTATTTTCAGTCGGTTATGAGAACAGCAACTGAGATGGACAGTTTTCAACGTAATCGGGGCATAGGGTTTTTCCATGTCTAGGGAGTTATTCATTGGGAAAGTAGAACCGAATCACCGCTGCCTCCCAGGTTAAATAAGCCTCCTTATGCTCTCTGGTTAGAGATCTTTCTTCTCTGTCGAGAAGCTAGCTATGATTACTATGCCGAAGAATTCCTCAGTATTTCCAGCAATCTTCGCTTCTTCGCTCATAAACAGGAAGTAGGAAAATCTTCGCGGAGTATCGCGACGCGTTATCGATCCCAACGATTGACCAATTTTCAAAGAGACAATATACAAGAGGAAAGCATGAAAACCACTGTTATATACAGACGATATATTCGCGATGTATACCAAACAGGTTTCTGTCGTTACATAAGCGAACGTACACCAAGTGACTGTATCAGCTCTTATCATTACCCTTCCATTCGACTTTCGTGGTACATTAGCATTGTAAGTGTCGACGGTCCAGAAACAAAGTCATGTAAGCTGAAAATCTGTCCGTTTTAATCCGCGCCAGACCGGATGCCGGGAGACCGAATACCAGACCAATGCCATATGACATACTCAATATCGTTTTTATGCTTGACATTAAACCTTAGACGATGGGTCACTGGGACAACGATAAATTCTATTTCATTTTCGACACTCTTACTTTCATTCTTTTTATTATATTTCTATTATACGGAGACCGATATGTATTCATTGGCGTAATTCGCTGGGGATCAGAACACTCCAAACGATAATTATACCAATTAATTTCATCTCCAGACGATTAATTGATGTTATTCATTTACAGTTTTCACGAATGAGATCAGCCTACATTCGGATGGAAAAGATAAAGGGAATTCAATGAAATTCGTACCGTACGAAAACGAAAACAAGATATCCTTCGGCGTTGCTTTCGATACGCAATGTGCATTTTAAAATGTGGAAAGTTTTGCATAGGTGGCGTTGCTTGTAAAATTGACGCGGGTATTGTCTACTACCAGTCTCTCTCCGGCTCTCTCTCTTATACATTCAACCCTCTCTCTTTCTTCGTTTCTCACATTTATATTTTTCCGTCTCTTTGTCACACGCACACAAACGTCCCTCTCTCATGGACGGTTCAACGAACGAGAGAGCCTGGCGCTTGCGCGGCTCCGCGCGGACGTAATTGTCGCTACGCTGCAAAAGTAGAAGACTATACTACACGGCAACCAGACTACCCTGGATCCTCTCCTTTTCCCTTTATCATTCTCCTCCTTTCCCGTAGAAAAGTAATAGCACATTCATAACCGCGACAAAATATTTATAAAAAACAAAAACAAAAAAATTGTCGAGCAATAGACACTCTCGCGTGTCCCGGCCATTAATTCACCAGGAAAACTTCGCGATTTTATCTTCATTCTTTCCTGCAAACATTCTTCTTGTATTGCTGTGTATTTTGAAAAAAAAAATAATAAAAAATTGCCGTCGATGATATAGTTAAAAGGATGACACGCGCGATCCGGCTCCAATTGATCTCCATTAAAATTTCACGTGGCGTCGAGTCGCGACAAACGAGCAAACAATTTTTCGTTACATAATCGCTCGATCTCTTCTCTGACCCCTGTGCATTTTGATTTTCGCGTATCAAGGTCGCGTTCCTCGGGCACGTCGCGAAATTTTGGGGATCCCCCTCCTCGGTCGCGTTTGTTTGCTCGACTTTGTACACGGGCGACGAACAGGTGCGACCGTGTGCCACCGTGGACAGATCGACGCGGCAATCGTACGCCGCTTTCCACGGCCAAAGGAGACCCAATTTACGTTACTCTCGTTCCCGTTGCTTCGCCGCGACTTACGTCTAACGATTAAATAATTCATCGCGTACCGTTAGCTTCGCGGATGCGCTCGATGCTGCACTTTCATGGAAGCGTATGAGGGAAAAAAAGGAACGCGTGCACGCGCGAAAGAAACGGCGCTTCGATCATGACCGACTCCATTTTTCCAGCGGGTACATACCGGGAAAACTTATCGATCGCTTCGATGAAATATCAACAGCTTTGATTTACGACAGGGCTATACTTCCGCAGCTGACTATACACGTATAGTATTAGCGTTTATAAACTTCCAAAATTTCAATTTCACCCGACCCGGATTAAGGATCCGACGACCATAATTTTGATAACTTGTTCACCCTTCTAAAAAATTCATCCGAAGTTACATTATTCTAATTCTAACGGGCGAAATCGACATTAGCCTCGGTTTTCATAAGAGCGAAGAAGACATACTGAAAAAGAGACGCAAGGTTTGATCGGGACTTGATAGGAATTTTCATGAAAAAGAGATCCGAAACGCGAGTTTCCTCGGCTTTTCTAAACTCTCCAGCGAAAGGGGTGGAAGAAGCCAGAGGAGAAAGAGCTAGAGCGAGAGGGGAACGTATTAAAAGAAGACGAGAGTAAGAGAGAGACGAGATCAAAGCAGTTTACAACACACCGGCAGACGCTGCGATATTGCTCCGTCGTGCTTTCTGCTTTCTGAGAAAGGTCCGAAACGTTTTCTCTCTTCCTCCCTCATTTTCTCTTTTACTCCTCTTCCTCCACCGCCATCAACCACCCCTTCCAGTTTCCCTCGTTCTTTCACCTACACGCGAATACTACTTTGAGCACGACCTACACGAATACACCCCCTTTATGCTTCGCACACTCTTTCACCTCGTACCTTGGTCCCTTCTACTCCTGCGCACTTTTCAAATGACATTATTTGAAATATTACTTCAAATACCGCATTACTTTGTTTCATAATCATCTTGTTTTTGAAGTACAATTGTATTATTTTGATTAGGTCCTACTAGCGTTAAGTGCTGCTTGATTTGAACACGGTTTCTGTTCATAAAAACTCTAGCTACAACTTATTTTAATTTTAAATCAAATTCCACAAAGTTATTTCTCCCTCGCTTTAACACATTCTGATCAGTACTATTTCTTCGACTCTCCTCTCCTCTCGCAGGAAGCTTACACAAATTCTCCGCTTCTGTATCTCTGTGTCTCCCTCGAATCTTCGCTCGCTCTCATCTCGTTGTCTCCCTTCGACGCCTACACTCGGCCCCTCTCCCTGGTCCGCGTTCTGGCACCGCGGCGTTCTCTGCGCAGGCTACCATGGCGCATCACTATACCACAGTGCAGAACCACTATAGCAATCACGGTGACTACTATACACGAGCTGGGATATAGTGAACCGACCACGCAGAACCAGAGAGAGAAAGAGAAAGAGAGAGAGACAAGCCCGTGGCGACGAGCTGAGCGTAAGATACGAAAACAGTTCCGAGCTGGTAGGGGCGATTTCCATGCACATTACACACGATAGTTGTTCCACGAGGTTAATATCATCGCTGATTATTCGTTAATCAAGTAAGTGAACTTCTGTGTACATTTGGATCCGAGTTTTTGAGGGATCTGTTTGTCAGAATCTCCTCCGTCGACCCATTTATTGTGTTATACTACTGAACCGCAATATCCATTGTAAAAACGTATCTACTTGATTGAAGAATCGCCGACTAACGTTTATATCCTTTCTCGTATCTTCGTCAGATATTCGTATAGTAAAATTCTTAGGTTCTGCAAGAACGAACACGTGTTTACAGAAACACTGTACGGTCGTTGCCGGTTCGACGCAATCGGTAGAAGAGTTAGCGGAGAGAAGTCGGGTAGGTGCCCCCTGGATGTATCTGTATGCGTCTACGACGGCACACACCGGGGATGCAGTGGTATAGGTCGCTTTGGCATAATAAGAGCGAGGGAGCGGAATATAATGCAGCCTCCTGCGCTCACCGGCCTCCCTGGAAGCTGCGGAATGTACCACCCACCCTGACTTCTCTCCTTCCATCTCGAAGACACGCGAGCGAGTGAACGCGCGCCGTTGGCCCTTGTAAACACACTTCTTTCCACCACTATTAATACTGAAAATCTGATGAATCCATGAACCGCGTCGTTCAGTGACATTGATTGAATTTTTCAAGGCAATTAACGAACTAATCGATACCCTATTGGGAAGCACGGAACGTAAATTCCACTAATTTGAATATTCGAATTTCGAATTCCAAAATTTTCATATAAATAATTAATAGGCGTTCGAAGTTTTATACAGCTCAAGTTCCATAATAGAGAGGATGCCTAATGATAAGTCTTAAGTAGAAGTCTGAAGGGAAAAGTAACAAGACGGAGCTGAGGAGGAAAGAAGAGGAGGCGTAGAGACGAACTAACCTACGGATATTTCGCGAGGCTGAGAGCTGCGGGGGTGTATATTGGGGCTTGTAAATGGGGGTGGAGGGTGGAGTTCCACCCCCGGCCGAATCGATCCCACCGCAGTGTAGCACTATAGCAGTCCACGTGCATACGTACCATGGACTCTCCTCTCTCATCTCTCTCGGTCGCTCTCTCATTTTCCCTTCGTTCCCTTCTCCATCCTATTTTCTCTCCAAGCTCATGGTACTACACCGTAACAAACCGCCGCAGCTGCGCCGAAACGCGATTGCCAACGAAACCGGGGGAAAATTCTGGATGCTGAATGAAAGATTCTTTTATTTATTTTTTTTTTTTTTTTTTTTTTTTTATCGCGGTGATTAATGCCCCGACGATGTTTCGCGTTACGGATGAAACATTGGCTGGTTGACAAAATTCGTGCAAACCGGGAACTAATAATTTCACAAAAACTGTGACAATTCGATTCGTCGCTATTCACCCTGACTGCATCCTCCTTCTCCGTGGTCTGAACTCAAAGGGTTATCACCTGGGCTCGAGGTTCAATGAATCGCGAGGGATCAACGGATGAGAAAGGGCGAGGAAAACGCGAGGAGAAAGCAAGAACGATGTTATTATAAATCGATACACGTAACGCTATGGACCAAGGTATATCCTCGTGCGTTGATTGGATATCCTGTACGAGGATTACTGACGCGTTCATTCAATTCCTAGTACGTACTATTCGCGCACAGCCGATCGGTGCAGTCACAGAATGCACCTATATCGTTGCTGCAAATCGAACGCCCACAAGTAGGAGGGATACGGACGATGAAAAGGGTAGAGAGGAGGTGTGGGAAGATAACGGGCATGGAGTATTATTACGTGTGTCGTGATACACAATCGACGTCTACATTCCGCTATGGAGAAACGCGGGCTGCGCATTATGGCCGGGCTATTTATCGAGGGAACGATGAAAATTCGAAGGAAGATGGACGAAAAATTATATCGATCCCATTGCTAATTATTCAAGTTGACGCGCAGGCGTTTCCTAATTACATCTCTCGCGTCTACATTTTCCTGTAAATCCGACCTCCATAGAGATTATACGGAAGGCGTTAACACAAGCATAAATACGAAGCTGGCACTATGCTAGCCAGTGTATAGCGGCCATAGCTGTCGCTCATTGTACTCGGTTCAATAGACCAGACTATGGGTTTCTCGTAGCGAGCTGTACATGCACGTTTGAGTGCTCTACGTATTACACGGAAAGGACCTTTCATCCACGTTTAATTGCGATGCAATTTGGGAGTACAACATATTTTCACGATGGAACTAGATGGAAAGTCATTTTCCAAAAATCAAACGCTGGATAATATCAATTACTCGTGTCAAAGTATAGGTACCTTCCAAAAAGCCGAACTGAATAATTAGATAGATTTTCGAGAATTATATATGAAAGTGTGTTATCCGGTCTGTCTTTGAAGTTCAACGATTTTTCTAGTCCCGTGCGTTCGAATGGATGAACAATGTCCAGATTGCGCCAGTCGTTTGATAAATTGAGTTCCGAACACTGGGAACGATAGAACAGTTTAATAAACCTTTAAACTCAATTAACGTCCGATTAGTTGCAACAGTCGGCTAACTGAAACTCTCTGAAACGTTTCTAGTTTGTTGTTAAACTTTCAACGAGGCGCGAAGTTGAGCCACGGCTGTGCCAAAGCCACACGTTTGACAACATTAGTAATTTTGTAAGAAAAATCGTTGGAATTGATACGCGCAAGTGACAGCAGGTTAAAAGAAATTTGTCGAAAATTTGGAAAAATTCGATACGTAGGATCTACAATGCTTTCTACAGAAACGGATGCTCAATATATCTTGACGCCAATAGTCCACCCTATTGCAACAAGTATCGTACGATCGCGTTTCAAACATTCTCTGACACGCTTTCTACACCTCTTCTGGCAACATTGTTGGGCCACACACTTGAATCTGCCTCATCTATAAAGAACACAACACCGCGAGCATGCGTTCTTCTTCCGAAGAGCCTCGAAGAAAATTGGATTACTCCGAGGCGGATGATCCAACGTACTCGGCAAACATTGTAGACACCGAGAGCTTGCCAAATGCTTCTACCTCAACACGTTCAATTCAGAACCTATTTTCATGAATCTTACGAGACAATGACCCTGATCATCATCTACATCATTTAAATTTTAGCAACGTTTCCACTGGACTGTTTTTTTTTAAATTAAAATTAAAAGTTCCGCTTTTTCTCACCGATGTAATTGATAAAAGGAACTTAAGTTAGTTTCACCAAACGATCGGGACAATCGTCGAGGAGAGAAGCGTGTAATGGACCAGAATAGCGTCGCGTCTGACGTCACGTAAACGTAGCGACGCGACGCAGGCGGATGACAAGCGGTGAAAATACCGCTGCGGTTCGTCAGCTCGCGTTACAAGCGTTACATATACGATTCGCCGTGTCGTGCATCAACTTCGTCACGTTTCAGCGGAACGACGACAGTTTAGCAGAGATACACGCTCTGTTTCGGGGGCGAAAACCGCGCGGATCAATCGGTAAAACAAACGAGAAACCTTCTCGTGGTTTCGCCACACGTATTGTTTACCACGTTTATTTTAAGATTCTGAGAGTTGTACGGGTGACGAGTTGCATTTCGTATGCTCTGTTTGAGACGGTAAGCGAGTCATTCGATGACCTGGTCTACTATGGTAGATTCATCATCCAATCTACCTCTAGTAGACCTACCATCCACCGATGACAAGAATCCTCGCGGGCCGGCACGGAGGCAAGAAGGGGTAGTACGCCTACACCGACTGACTCCCTACATTTACACGAGCCTAATTAGTAGATGTGATCACTTCGACCAATCATACGTCAAGACCGAAAATACACGCGAGCTGAGATGGGGCGCGACCAATCAGATTGCTTTATTCTGATGGGACTTTTTGTGGTCGGTGGACAGTACGTCTTGGGTGAAGACTCTTGACACTGGAGGACAATTGATGGTGTTCCTTCGAACCGTGTTATGGTATATCGTCCAGAACCTCACCATCGCGAGTTTACATCTATTGCTTCATTATTTATATAGATTTCTTTTCTTTTTATTTTATTCACGATTGGAAAGTAATTAGAACTCGTTGGACTAACGATTAAAAAGAAGCTACATGCTCAAAAGATGACACCAATGATTTCCGAAACATAGAAAGAATTAACAACTCCTGATATATTCAACATTTTCCAATATCACCTTGGAATTAAACGGCAAAATTATCGAAGTTATCCGAATAGAAACTCCAAAGACAACACGAGAGCTTCGATCTGCCTGGAAGGTGCGTTTCCTTTCGGAAACTACCACGGTACGTCTGCTATATCGTCGAATTTACTGCAGATAGAGTTGAGAAAGTAATTCTGCGGCAATAAAACGCTACAAGTGAATCCGTTCGTAACTTTTCAGTCGCCACGAGCGGCGATAAAGCGAAAAAAGTTGGTTAAACTTCGGCATCCTGTTGTCCGTCATCGGGAAACGAGGAGCATAATATCGATCGACGGCAATGTGATTCCAAACAGATCCGTGGGTAGGTTCGGAGATCAAAGGAGAGACGAGTATGACCCAGTTTTGAGAAACGAGGTTAGCTCCGACACGAAGGGACTCGCAATAGCTCGTCCTTCACGCAACAACTTACATCCACCGAGACTTTCCCTAACCCTCTCTTGTCCTCTGTTGTTCAATACTTGGAAAAAAATATATATTATGGAGAGAGAGGAGATAAAAAAATGGAATTATCATCAGAAGCCAATTAGACGGTGGATGTGGACCGTTTTTGTTAGACGTGAAAGTATCGTAAGCGAACGGAATGCAAGCAGAACGAACGCAGCAACTAGGCCTGTTGCAAAATCATCCTGAGATTGCTGGCTGGCTGGCCGAGCATTGCGAGAATTTCACAACGGCCATTGTTAGATGGAAGGATGTGGAAACCGCGTCAATTTTAGAGGCAGCAGGGACCAAATTGAAGACAGTTTTCCGAACGACCCAACCTGTGATGCGGTTTGGTGCATCGACCTTCCTACAAATTACGTGTGAAATCTCGTTGAATCGCTTGGCGAAGACAGTGGTGCCATTGAAAAATAAACTAGATAAACACTGTCTATTATTCGTGGCTCTTAAATCTACAAAGTTCCTACCGATTCCGAGCCGTTCTTGTAAGAAGTGAGAGATGGGGCTTTCGATTTCCCGTGTAACTGACCATTCCTAATTCCCAACTTCTGACCGTGGATTGCGGTTAATCTCCGTGGAGACTTCTCGCTTTCCCCCTTTCCGGTTTCCACGTTCCGCAAAAGGGCTCGGTCTGCCATTGAATCCGATCGATCGGAAGAATAAACGATTCAACTCCACTAGGACTGGATAGAGTTTTTGGAACAACGTCTGCTAAGTTAGCCAATTAAACGACGGTCATGATGAAAGGAGCATTAAAAATAACAGCCAACGATAAAACCGTGAAATCAATGTCGAAAGAGAAGAGAACGCATCTCGCGAGAGAGGTCATTCGGAAACAAAGTGCCGTTTTACGAGGCAACCTTGAACGATTCGGCTTCAAGTGCGACGATTAAAGATTGTTATGGAATATAAAATGGACTTGTTTTGTAAATTCGCGTCAATCCCTCACGGGATCGTGACACGGATCAAGAGGAGCCGTGTCGTCGCACCAGAACCCTCCTCCGCCCACGGTAATCCACTGGTCCATGACCCTAACCTACCCTAATCTGTAGCCAACCGCGGGTAGATTCACCCCTGACCGCGAGGTCAGCACTGAGCGAGGTTCGTTTACATCCCGCAGGGAATGAGAAACAAATGTTGGTAAACAAACTTGGTGTATCGCATATAAACATTTGCATCTTATCTAAAATGATGTTTAGAATACAATGTACAGTACCGAGAATGGTGGACTTGACCGAGACACTAGCTCCACCTACGCAAAGATGGAAGATCGAAGCAGTCTAACGTATTCTGGTAAGTTTCGATAGCTCGACAAACAGGGAAATGAAAAGGGAAGACATTTGGTAAATAACAAAGTCAGCTCAAATATTTACGCTGTGACCGCAACAATGGAAACAATATCGGTTGCCTCTCTGTTCAGAGACCGCATCCTACTTTCGCCTTTCTCTCCCTTCTATATTTTTCTTTGATTTCGCCTTTCGTGTATCAATCATCTTCCGCTGAAACGCGAAAGCTTTTTTCACCCCAGAGTTAACACGTGGAGATTTTTCTTGATTTCCAAAAATTGCACCCCTCAATCCCTTCCT